CTCTCTCTCTCTCTCTCTCTCTCTCTCTCTCTCTCTCTCTCTCTCTCTCTCTCTCTCTCTCTCTCTCTCTCTCTCTCTCTCTCTCTGTGTCTTAGGCCAGCTAGAGACTGACGACTGACCAGTTTGAACCCAGGCGACCTCCCTTCTCTTACACTTGCCGCCTGCATTTCTCCGTCATTGAGTGACCCAATTAAGCCCGACCTGTTTAAATTGTCCCGACTCTCGCCGAGTCTCATTACAAGCCACGCCGCAATTGCATGGATCGTGTGTATCTGTCCCTGGTTTACGAATGTAGTGACGGCCAGGGGGAGCAATCCACTTAAGCGGGGGCGCTAACCCTGCGTGCTCAACAGGATGCGCAGGATGTGGTGACCGTGTCAGGCGCCGCTTGGATGAGAGCAAGAGGAGGCCTGCTCGGGCAGAAGGACACTCCACTCACTGAGCTGTTGCGCAAGTCCACGTATATATTCTTCGCGCCTGAACTCCCCGCCACGTTCCCCGAGTACGTGTTCCCTCTGCAGAACTTCAGTCTACTACTCGGAGGCCCGCCGTCAAACAGCGCAAATCCACGTTTGCCCTCGGTGAAGCTCCCGGGCACGACTCGCGCACCCACAGCCCCACCGTATGTCCCCGCGGCGTTCTTCTCGAACTTGGAGCCGGAGATGGTCGCCACCGCCTGGTACATCGACAAGGACACCGCTCCTCCTCGCCTGCCCTCCGCCTTGTTACCTGTGAACGTGCATGCGCTGATGACAGTGACGTTGTCACCGTACATATTGATGGCCCCGCCTGCTGCATACCGTTTGTAGGATCCTTTTGTTGAGTAGGCGGAGTTGCGCACGAAGCTGGACCGCAGGATCCTCCCCTCGCCAGAGCCGGTAGATGCTATCGCGCCCCCGATGCCATCCACCCCGTTACCTTCAAATGTAGAGTCGGTGATGGTGTACAGACTGGCGAAGTAAATAGACATCGCGCCGCCGTCTCCCGCGCCTCCCGCCTGCTTCAGCTGGTTGTTGCGGAAGACCGTGCGCCCGATCACCACCCTCCCGGCGCTCTGCGAATAGACTGCGCCGCCGCTGCCTCCGCTACCTTGCGCCGCCACCTGGTTTCCGAGAAAGGAAGAGCGGGAGATCGCCAAGTTCCCGCCCAAAACAAAGACCGCCGAGGCGGTACCTCCGCGTGTCACCCGATTCCCGCGAAAAACGCAGTCTTGAATGTCGACGTCGTAACCCAACACAGAGAAAATCGGTCGCGTTCCGTTGAAGTTCCTGAATTCCAAGTTCCTCAAAGTCAGACCGAGAGGGCTCAATCCACCCAGCTGGAAGGCTCCGTCAATCACTGGACGTCTGCCACCTGGCGCTTTGCCCACCAGCGTGAAGCTTCTGCCGAAGGCCAGCTGTGGTAAGGAGGCGTTGAGGACCACGTCGCCTTTCACCTCATGATAGACCACATTGAAATCGTTGATCGCCGCCAAGAGATCGTCCAACCCGTACGCTGCTGCCATCGGTAGTGCAGACAGCGAAATGGAAATCGCCAGCAGGAGCAAAGAGCTCCCGGCTGTCGCTGCTGACGGCCGTTTACACCGCCAACCCGCCGCCATAGCCATAGCCATAGCTCCTCGTCTCGCCTCTTCCCAAGGTCAAGTGTGACTCTGCTCCGAACACAGGTCGGCTGAGTGCCCGGTAGCGAAGGTCGTCCCAAGGGACACACTCTCTCAATTTCCCCTCCTCAAGACGGCGATATATATGCACAGAGTCCGCATGAGGGTGGAGGCGCCCCGCTACAGTAGTGCTGTCTTCATCCTGCGCAGAGCAACGAAGTTGCTTTTATAACGGCCATGCTTGTGCTTTCCAAGCATGAACGGAGGACCAACTGAACGGAGCCTTGGCGCTGAGCTCTGCGCTCCATCGCGGTTCGAGGAGCAGATGGAGCTTGGGGCAAGATCCCGCCAGCGAAGGAGATTGAATCAAGGGCCTGAATCTCCAATCAGAGATGCAGAAAGGCAGATGGATAGCCATATTCTGCACCTTTCGACAAAGACGTCAATATTTTTTTTCTTTTTTTTTCTTTTTAAAAAGGGCCACGGTCGCAGGCAATTCAGAAATATTTGGTTTTACTCATCAGGTTCCCTAATACGGGTTCGAACTCGGGTCTGTATTTCAACATTTCAATCGTGTACCCAGTGAGATAGGCTCTTGGGTTGGACGTCAATATTCGGGCGTTTAATCGAATCCTCGTTGCTACCGGTAGTGGGATGTCGCCCTTGGTTTTCCTAGGTGGTTTTTGGCGGAAGTGATCCGATCCGATGTGAGCTGCACCTAGTCACCTCGTTGGACCATATTCATGCGCACCCTGTCAAGCTGTGCAGTTTTTGTAGCGCCGTGGGTATATGGCCCTAAGTGTGGTGGGCCCATTAAAAAAAAAAAGAGAAGGCCGTTCCAGTCCCACCTGACAACATTGWCATAAAAAAAAAAAAAAAAAAAAAAAAAAAAAGCATTGTCATTACCTGGGGCAAGGTCCCACTTGCGCAAATTAGGAGATTTCGGCCGTTGATATTTGCTATCTACGGTCAGTATCTCTTAATTCGTGCAAGTGGGACCTGGCCCCTGCTCTGACTTACCCGTGTAAGAGTTCTTGCAGTTATCCTTGGGCGTTTTTTGTTTTTTTTTGTTTTGTTTTTGTGAGTCCCAGCACTTATCTCTTAGCAGCAGCAGTCTGCTGCTTCTTTTTTCTCTCAATCTTTCATCCTCTTTCAAATTCTTCTCTCAATCTTTCATCATCTTTCAAATTCTTTCTAAATTTCCTTCACTACCTACCTACCACTACTCCTATGGCCTATAATACAGGGGACCCCTGCGAACATAGCTTTGTTGTCTCCTTCCAGCCATCAGAGGGGATGCATGCCCCCCGGGCCCCAACCATGGTGGTCAAGGATGGGTTGGGGCCGCCCGTGGGGGTCCAGCTAACGCAAAGATAGAGCATGTTGCCAGTAGCTGCGCCTCCCTTTTCATCGTCCCCCATCCCCAACAGAATAACAGCAGTGTCTAAGGCCACCACTCTCTCACACACCACACACCACACACAATCCACTCGCGCTCACACTCACACCCGTGTTGGTCATAGACCCCGCTAATACAGATCAGAGGTATCAAGCTGACTATCACCACTGGTTGGCACTAAGTGCACCGCAGGCGGTTGTGGGGCTCGAACCCATAACCACCTGAATGCCACCTGAGTGCCTAACCAACTGAGCTAGGCTTCCAAGGGTTGAGTCCTCAGAGTCTACCTGGAAAGGCTGGGAGCATTACCCAGTTTCGCTTAGGGGGTGGGACCACACCCCGCGGGAGCAGCAGTTGCCCCCAAGGATTCCAACGGAGACTTTTCTTCTTTTTATCTTTTTTTTCTTTTCTTTTCTTTTCTTTCTGCAGCAGTTGCCCCCAAAGTTTCCAACCTATCCAGCGGCCTAGCTCAGTTGGTTAGGCATGCAAGTGGCATTCAGGAGGTTGTGGGTTCAAGCCCCATGCCCGCCTGCGGCGCACTTAGTGCCAACGGACTGTGATAGTCCTCTGGATACCCCTGATCGGTATTAGCGGGGTCTATGACCAACACGGGTGTGAGTGTGAGCGCGAGTGGGTTGTGTGTGGTGTGTGGGAGAGTGTTGGCCATAGCCTCTCTGCTACTCGATGAAGGGTGGGGGACGATGAGAAAGGGAGGCACAGCTATTGGCAGGTCTCGGTCTTTGTGTTAGCCAGACCCCCACTGGCAGCCCCAACCCTATACCCTAACCATTAGGGGCAAGGGGCAACATGAAATCTCCCCTTCACAGAGAGAGGAAATTACGCTTGCAGGGGTCCCCTCTAGATAGTCTTAGGAGTAGGTAGTGGAAGGCAAAAGAAACAGAAGTTGAGAGAAGAATATAGAAAGAAAATTTATCTTTTTTTTTCTTTTCTTTTCTTTTCTTTCTTTTCAGGGCTAACTACGCGGGAGTCACAAAAAATAGTTATAATTGCACTATGGGCCAAGGTACAGTTTGCAATTGCAGTTCGGGCACCCTACCTGGCCAGAAAACTGGGTTGTATTCATTGCCCAAACTGCAATTTGAAACTGTATCTTGGCCCATAGTGCAATTATAACTCATTTTTGTGACTCCAGAGGCATGGTGATTGCTGGCAGCGGCAGCCATTGATTGTCCTGACATGATAGGCCACCTACGCTACCCATCCCCACTTTAATACTCCCAGCGCACCTCGTGCCCTGACTATCCTACCTCAGTGTGACCAGCACTCAGGACATCACCCTACCAGTATCAAGGACAACTTGGACCAGACAGCAGTGACAAGCACCAAGGCTAGGCCAACCCCCCAGCCCTAGTGGAACTGGAAGAGAATGAGCCTTGCCGTATGGGAACTTCAGACGCCAGGCTCATGCAATCGCTTACAGGCCCAATATAAGAGAGTCTACCCAGCAGGAGTAGCCAAGCAAGGCAAGCTTGTGACAATCTATCTTTCGACCAGCGCGACTTTCTGCGCGATTGCACTTTGGGGTTGGACGGAGGGGTATGATCGAATTGTGCAAGTGCCCCCATTCTTTTCTTCCTTTCCTCTCTGTTCTGTGAAAACTTGGTCCCATGGCGGTTGGTATCTAGGACGTGCCTTAGCGAGCGCAGGAATAACGTTTGGCGCGGCTTTTTCCTTTTTCTTTAGCTATTGGGCAGGGAACTTCGGCGCAGTCATCACGCGGATTTTTTTTTTGAATTTTTGAACGTCGTGGAAAGAATGCGGGAGGCCATGGGGGTGATCGGAATAATGACTCTAATTAGACGGGGATCTTGAGGGCATCGTATTTTTTTCGTAACTGCGCGGTGCTCCTTACTTGCGCACGTTCTGCTGCGCTCTGTCCCGCACTCTATTTCGGCCGCGCCTTAATTTTAATCTCTACTGTAATCTCTTCTTGTTCCTTCCTCGACGAGTACGGGTGTAACTGTAATCTTCTCATTCTTGGCCCTCTTGCTGAAACCTGCGGCTTCTTTCCCTTCATCTCATTGGCCACAGCGGTGCATGACTGGATCGATGCGTGGATTGTGGCTACATCCCCCACGCCACGGCCCAGGCATGCTGACTGCAGGCACTTCCTTCTTTCTTCTCTCCCCCTGCCTTTGCGTAATCCCGACTATCTCACGCAAATGCCAATAGCTATAAATTTTGCAAGCGCGACGAAATCGCTCTCTAATCAAACTTGGAAAGGTTAGCAAGGTCAAGAGGATCGGTTGACGAGTAGGAGCCAACGAAAAGGTGACTTTGGAGTTGGGCGATCTGACGAGGTGCTTGCGAGTGTGCGCAGTTGCCGTGCGGCCACGACAGACTTGGAGCATGGGCGGACCCGGCGTGCGTAATCGAACTAAGCGGGGTGACGACTCTGAGTAGCTGGTAGGTGCGAGGCGATGGACCGCCTGCATCGGCCCAAGAAGGAGGATGGTGGAGTAGAGAGAGAGTGGGATGCTGGGGTGTGTGGGACCTTCTCTCCTGGCCCTCTCATAATTTTTTATTTCGGAATTGTGGGTTTTCGTCCTTCCCGTTTTTGTAATTGCGGATGGATATCTGATTGTGTAAATCCTTTTCATTTTTTTGTGCGCCTCCACGTATTTCTTTTATGAATGATGTTGGATATTGTGATTATGGTATTGGTCGTTTCTATTTTTGCATGCCCACTTTCTGCTTATGATCGGAGAGCATGAATGCATGTCTACTGGCAGTTCGCTAAAACCGATTGGAAAAAATGAGCTTGGTCATTATCGTCCAATGAAGGAAACTTATACGAGCTCGTGCATGCGCTACGACCCGCCAACAACAGAGCCCGTCATGTATACACTCGCTCGCATAACTCTTCCCCGTCGACCCTCAAGTATCCGTCTGCATGGATAAGAGCGGCAGCAACACCACGGACCCGTAGCATAGAACTCGATATCTGTTCTCAATCGCAAAAGCCTGTACCGACCGCCGAAGTTTTGTTGAAGCTAACGACAAAATGACCTCCTCATGACTGGCCCTTGGCGCCGGCTCGAACCTGTTGCGCCGAGAATTCGGGAAGCCCCTCCTTCGTCTGAGCATTTGGCATCCTCGTCCTTAGTACCTTGACACCGAAGATGCCTATTGCGACTTGGGAGTTCGCCCCCTTTTTCCTAAAATCCTTGGCATACCCGCTTTCTCGCTACTTCTGGACCCACTTTCCAATCCTTTCAGGAAGTTGCGCTGGCCGTGAGGTTGGTATTGGAGTGCTGACACATGTCCGTCTAAGCACTAAGTAAGCAATTTGTCTCCATATCCGATAAATCTGGCGAGCTCAACTAGAGTACGATCTAAAATAAAAACAAGCTGAGGCGGGAGCTTGTAGTCACTCGGAGTAGGTCCGCAGGACGACAGAGGGCCAACATGAATGCTAATCCAGTAGTCAATGCTAATCAACATGTTGCGCCAAATCCCGTTGGGCAGACAGCACCGGCCCCTACCTGTGTTCGCGCACCAGCTGCCCCCCTCGATCTATACCTTCTTGATCTAGTGCATCACCTCACAGGAGTGTGGCTATCCACCCTCCGAGCACAGTAGTACAATGACCATGAGGCCCGGATCAAGTCCCCACCCCGCTTGGGAGGAGATGCGCATCACTGGCTTAGTACATACAATTGGGTAGATCTTCCGACTTTCGAGAAAGATTTCCTACATCGGTTTGATTACATACATCCGGAACAAGCATTCTTCATGATCAAAGATCAAGTGCAAAAGCCCCTCCTTCGTCCGAGCATCTTCAATCCTCGTCCTTGGAACCCTGACACTGCAGATCCTTGTTCCCACCTGCAACTCCGCCAACTTTTTCTCAAAA